CCCCCTTGTGCCCACCCAGCGTACAGTCACACCCTGCTCCCTCCCAGCATGTCTCCCTCCCCCACTACAGGAAGTGAGAGAGAAAAACCCACACAGAGAAGCATTATCAGGGGAGGAGAGGGGAAGCAGAGTGATATAAACAAGGATCTAGTCACGCAATACCTTGCTGCTAGACACAATGACAATGTCACACCATACAGTTACAATGTACGACAAAAGCCACAACGTTGACAACAGCTGAAACACCAATGTTCGCCTTTATCAAAGAAGCGTTTAAAAGTCACAAGTGTCAAATACACAATACACCGAGAGACACATGTCAGCAGCTGGACTTAGAAAAGCCATAGTGCTGTATAGAAATGGACCGATTTGTCCAAAGACGGGTGATTTCCATACACACTTGTACATTATTCAACTCAAGAACTGGACACAAAACATATTGATGGCAAAAGTGCAGATTCATCTTCTGTCTGGATTCATTTGGCTTTTCGGTCTTGTTCAAACCAACTGAAAACAACTTCACTCAATAGGGCTGCAACTAATGATTATTTTCATAAGCCATTAGTTGCCGGATTATTTTTTCGATTAATCGGATTAAAAAAAAATGTAATTTAAAATAAAAAAAACACAAATAGAGGGTTACAAAGTTTACTTCAGAATAAAACTGCATGCAAAATGTTTTGCATTCGCACTGCACTGCGTACGATCACACTGTGGGTGGGAGGTGCATTTGGGGTGCCATGGAAATGAATGGCACTGCAACTTTTTCTCACGGGCAGAATTTATCAGGCCGAAACCAAAAATGACTTTTTCCCCACATTTTATCGATTTTTTTGTTTTAAATAATTGTATTGTAAGCACATGGCGCTTAAATAGCTCCAGCTAGGGAATGACAGCTGCCAGTGGCAAGATTCCGCAGACCGCAGCTTAATGTAAATATAGCAGGTAGTGGGTTGGTGCAATAGCCTACCAGCTATTGGCCATTTCAAATTGCAATAGCAGACTGGATATTGCACCTGCCCACTGCTTACTGTGCCCTCCTGCTAGTGTGGAGGAGAGAGCTAGGGGGTCCAACCAACTAATCCATAATAAAAATAGTTGACAACTATTCTCATTATCAATTGGTTGGTTGCAGCGCTACTACTCAATGACAAACATATTTTTTTTCAAATGTCCCTCAACAAAGGGTACCCACAAACAGCTTCAATATGAACCTTCATAACCAGAAAATGGAAACACAAGTTAATTCCATTGGTATACACAGCATCAGAAATACGAATAGACACACTCAATACCTCCAGTATTCCAACTAATAAGTTGCACAACTTAAAGTGACACTAAACTCAGGAGTTCAATCTTAAAAATGCATTCAAGTACCTTCATTATTAACAAAAATGTATCTTATATGTGTATCACTCGGCTGTAGATCCTCAAATCATCTCTGACTTGGTGCCGACAATGTCCTTCCTTCTGGAGGGTGGCTACTTTTGTTCCCCATGGTCCCTGTGTGTTGTAAAGTAGCCACCGCTCCAGGCTCACTCCTGTGATGGACTACACTCTCAATACAAATTAGCAACTAAACATGAGATTGTAATCCATCACAGGAGTGAGCTTGGAGCTGTGGCTACTTTACAACACACACTGGGACTATGGGGAAGAAAAGTAGCCACCCTCCAGAAGGAAGGACAGTGTCTGCACCAATTCAGAGATGATTTGAGGATCTACAGCTGAGTGGTACACAAATAACATGCATTTTTGTTATTAAAAAAGGTACTTGAATGCATTATTAAGATTTAACTCCTGAGATGAGTGTCATTACTGGCCATACACTAAGATTCCCTTGCACAGCTTGCAGGTTGAACAGAGCAAATCTAACAGATTCTCCCATCTATGCTAAACAGCGTGGATGGACGAATGTTCCCTGCTGGTCTATTGAATTCTGACAGCCGGCTGTCAGAATACATGAGCGGCCAACAATTTTCAGCCTGGCTCCTTCAACAAAAGTCAACTGATTGATCAAGTTTTGTTGAGCCAGCAGGGCCCCCACTGTTAGAATTTCACAAGAATCGATTGAAATTCTGTGTATGGCCAGTTTTACTGGCATGTTTGCTGCCTCCAGCATTCCAATTAATAAGTTGCACAACTTGTTTCGGAGGTATACTAAAGTGCTCAGAGTTCAGAGAGTGTTGGCATTTCTAATTCTAGGACTACCCATGAATTTAACATTATTGGAACATGTGAGACTGGGAAGGTGTCATGCAAATGTGATCATCAGTATTGATAAGCAGTGGAATTTTTTTACGCCAGCTATTGTCATGTGGTTAACATGACATTATAGAGGGTGGAGGACTACAAATCAGGAGCTGCATGTACATCCTATGTATTATAGGTTGCTGCTTCACAATGGTTTTATACACATATGAAATTCCATCATTGTTGATGTTTAAACAAGTGCAACAGGAATTTCTCCAAGACTGGGTTAGGCTAGTTTGTCTAAGTAAGATTGTTTGTAAGAGTGTTCTTGCTGAGATGAAGATGACCGGAAAATTAAGATTTTTGGACTTGCCATAAAATCTCTCTTGAAGTCCATTTTGGGTCACAGGAATGTAGTTATTCTTGATCATATGGCTTAGGCTACTATTAGGCCATACCTCGTAAAATTTTGATTTTGTGAACAAGCAGTACATAAAGCCAACATCATAGGGGGGCAGAACCTGCGTCCCTAATGGACCTCAAGAAAGAGATTGTACTGTAAGTACCAAACTCTTATTTCCTTTATATTGTCCATTGAACTCAGGAATGTACAGAATAATCTTCTAAAAGCATAGCAGAGTACTGTATCAATCAGATTGGAAAGAACAATGTACATGTCAGGGTCACCAGGAAACAGGTCAATCACAGTCTCAGCAGAAGTAGACTGTGAAGGTTCTGAAACTATATCATAGATAATGATAGGGGCCTCAGGCACTTTGAGAGACAAGAGCCCAGAAGAGGTAGAACTAAGTTCTGCAGTACACGGTGCTGGGGAACTTAATGAATATCTGAGAGCAGACTGATACAAAATCAGAGGTGGGTATGTCAGGACAAGTCTCAGGTTCAAACAGCAGAGCTCTGGAAGCTGCTAATGAAACGATACTATAGAAAGAGGGATCCCAGGATCCAAAATATAGGCATCAGATACTAGAGAACCACTTCCAAAACAATACGGGAGTATGAAGAGAGGTCACCTGCTGCAGCGGGACTGTCCTCCAACATTTTTTTTCTTTTATACAGACATGTTGCACAGAACAGTGGTAAACAACAACAAAATAAAATTGAATCAAGGCATAGTTACTCACAAACCTAGGCAGTAGGTGCATTGCCAATACAAGTACAGCTACCCATTAAGAAGGCAATATATTTGAAGCAACCATACAACAAACATTCTTCTTGAGAAAAACACTATCAAGCCAATAAGTAATTGCAAAATCTGATCTTAACCTTTGGCAAAGTTCAAATCAACACGATGGTGTACATTTAATAATAAAATAAATAAATAAATTAAATTAAATTAAAAGAAATAAAAAAAAGTTGCCAACCTGCTTGAACTGCTCTTCATATGTCCAGTCCCCATGGTCCTGAATTTGAGGGTGTGCGTTTTGGGGCAGACCTGGGCGCTCTGCTCCCACCGATGGGCGTGTTGGTAAGGCCTGTTGAACAGGGTGCTTTGGGGGAAGAACGGAACCTTTTGTAGATCTACCAGCCTCACCGACATCCACACCATCTTCCATGTCTTCATAATCTTCCTCGTCCTCAAAATCATCCTCATCCCATTTCCCCTTCCTTAAAAGAAAAAAAAAAAAAAGGAATCATTATTTTGAAGAATCAAGTTCACATTAATATGTTATAAGACCCCAAGCAATGTTTTTTTGTTTTTTTATTCTGCCAAATCCTACTTCAATATACAAGCTGAAAACCAACTTTGTATTCACACTCTAATATGCCAGCATATAATTGCTTACACAATGCTTAAGCCATAGTAATAAGGCCATAGCAATAGGGGGCTGTTCACACCACTTCTTCCAGTGCGTTCCAGCAGCTAACCGTGCTGGAACGCACTGGTTCGCAACAGTGAAGGCTCCCTGCGTTCTGGGGCAGGAGGCGGCCTGACGGTGCATTCAAGTAAATGGCACCGCAAGTCATGCCATGCCTCCCTGCCCGCACCAGAACGTGTGGCACAGCAATGGCCAAGTTCCAGTCCAGAGCGATCACAAGAAATATCGCTTGTACCCTAGAAGAAGGGGGTAGACCTGAAAACCTGGCTGCACAGTAAAATACATGCAGAATACAGGTTACATAATACTGTTTGCAGAATTAGCATTGTAATTACCAGAAAAAAAAGTAGCAGATTAAAGCTGGCCATGCACCACTATCATTTTGTTTGAAAATGTTCATTTTCCAAACATTCGTTCAATTTTCCAATGGTTACAGGGGTCTAATTGGCGTTAGTGTAGCCACAAGGCAGTTGGAAGGAGCAGGATGTAAGTATTTCTAGTTTTTATCTGAACAAAGACAATTTTTGTTCAGAAAACAAAATCGTACATATTGTAATATGCATGTGCTAGGCACAAAATAAACCTGTTTAATATGTCTGGGATTCATTCAAGTAGCAGGTCTGGTCAAAATGTTTGAACAAAAATGACTTGATCGAATGATCTGGCGAATTACTTCGAACAGGCATTTGAACAAATTTCGAGCAGTGCATTGCCAGCTTAACCCTTGCAATACTAAACAACTGATAAAGACTGCAGTGCCAGAAAGCTTCCTGCTGTGTTGCTGAAAAGCAAACCGTTTCTTAGAGCACGAGAAAGATCTGCTGCTTCTAACCCCACAGCATCATATCTGTAATTACTGCTGAAGATGCATAAGAGCGATGAACAACATGAAGTTTAACCAAGTAGGAAGAAAAAAAATCCCTGCGTACACTAATCCTTGAGTACACAGTAACTTGGCACAAACTGTGTGAACAGAGCGCTGCAACTTCAAAAACTTCCTATCTGTCTGAGGTTTCTAACCGCCTTTGACCAGCTGCCAACATTCTCAGGCTTGCTGGCAGCTTCTGGCACGCACTGCTTCACCAGGTCATATACAGGGCACCAAGTATTACCATACTGCTTTTTATCGGTTCAGCACATCAGACACCAGTGATGGTATTTATGATACAAATATACTTAACGGTTTAAACTGTTAATAGGTCATTATTTTACATGCAGACAGTCATTTACTTCTATCCTATGGAAGCAACATCAAGACTAGGGGCCAAACAGAAGCCTGTGTGTTTGGCACCTCTGCTTAGAGCTGAGGTCCTAGCATGGCTTCCACTGAACACAGTAGGGGACATCAACTTGGTTGCATCATCAGCGTCTATTCAAATGTCACATCCCCCATTTCTAATGCATATAGGGACAGATTTATTATCCTAGTTCATGTTTCATTCCTAAATGTCTTAGTAAGGAGAATAGTCTCTAAATTGTCACAAACAAGCGGGGGAACTTCCTGGAGGACGGCTCAATAGCCCTGAAGTGTTTAGCTGACTTGAGGGTATGAAGCTGTATTATCTTTGTGACACTTTAAGAATTCTACTTCTAGAATGTGCAACAGTTCGGAGACCTTTTAATGTCGCAAATGCTGGGCGCTAGGGATGCATTGATACCAAGTACCGATATTTTTATTTTTTTTCCGGTACTCGCCGATACTAAATACCGGAAGTCCCAATTAGGAAGCTGGGGCGGTGTGTAATGACTCGCCGCCTGACTTCCCAATTAGCTGTGAAGCCGTCTTTCTGGCCAATCAGGAAGCCGGGGGGCAAGTAATGACTCGCCGCCTGGCTTCCCGATTGGCCAGCTTTGCGACCAATCAGGAAGGCAGGCGGCAAGTCATTACACACCGCTCAGCTTCCCAATTGGCTGGCTCTATGCTCACTCGGTTTCCGGTATAGGCATCGGGAGCATTTTGGCGAGTACTCTCCCAATTACTTGGTATTGGCGCATCCCTACTGGACGCAATTACTGCACAGTAAGAAATTATGCAAACTGTCGGAATACGTGTACAGTGAGTCGCAAAATGTATTATGGCACAAGAACTATGAATAAAAATATAATGCATAACAGAGTTAAAACTTTGCGCTTAGATAGCATGACTTTTTGGGCTCTGCAACTATAAATTTTGTGGCAAACACGCTGATAAATGTGTTCTTGATTTGCTTGATAAATGTCCCCCAATAACTGCACAGAGATTATACTTTATGTGGCAAATTTTGGGGTGCCGTTTCCTCTCAGCATCCAAAAGTCCAGATTTGTTGGTTAATTGGCCTTAACCCAAACTGGGCTCTATTGTGTGTGTTCATTTGTATGACTATGGCTAGCTTATCAGATTGTAAACAAGTTCCTGGCAAGACTGACGAATGGTTTAATTTTATCTATAAAGTGGTGTGGAAACAGTGTCAGCACAATATAAATGAGTAAAACAAATAGCATTAAATGAACAAAACATGCAAACGCGATGTTGTAGACAGTCTTAAAACGATCCTCTCACGGGGCAAAATATGCCAAAACGCCTAACCTGGGAGGAAAGCAGCATTAGAATTACGTATCTGTTGGCCCATTTGCCGAGACCATATAGCACAGCTCTCGACACAGATTGCAATCAACTCATCGTGCTAGTCCAAATATAGGGTCCCCCACTTTCAACCAGACGCTGTGATTCCGCCTAATGCAGGACACAATAGTGATGAGTTCCAAAAGAAAAAGCACAGCGGCCAGTTGGGAACCTGCTATGGTAACCACAGGAAAATGTGGAATAAGACCGGCACCGGGAACACTGCCTGAGTGAAGTTTCAGCAAGTAGGCCCCAGGAGTAAGTATCTATGCAATTACAATGCTGTTTTTTTTCCCACAATAGTACTTTGGAAAAATTTTACCCTGACAGGGTCGCTTTAAAGTGTCATTAAACACAATAAAAAAATATATCTATCTTCTGCAATACTTTCACAGCCCTTTTGTCCCTTCTTATGGCAGTATCAGACAACACATGACAAAAAGTACATTATAATCTTCTACTTCCTTTATGAGTGTGGCTACATTCATTCTTTACAGTCCCACTTTAAGTAGGAACGTAGCCACGCTCCCCGGAGCCCTTCTTGTATGGACCACATATGTGCCAATGTAGACAGGGCCGGGATCAAATATACCATTCCAGTCATGAAATAGCCACCCATGGACTTCAGAGTGACAGCAGAACCAGCAAATCCGCAGAATCATCCTGAATGAATATAAATGGCATGCATGTGCAGCATATTGTAGGCACATTGATTAATAGGATTTGTCGTTTTATGAGAGCAGTGCACGTGACCACAAATATGTGCACTGCTTGTGCTCAACACAGTGGAAGTGAAGGGAGAAGAACATGGGGGGGGGGGGCACAAGAGAGAACTTTTAGGAGTGTAAAAAAATAGTCAAAAGTGAAGTTAAATAAGTACAACAGGAAAGCTATACAGCAAGCCGAGACATAAAAAGGTACATGGTCTCACAAATGAATTCCAATACTTCAACAGGAAAAAGGTGCAACTCCTGCCATTAAAAAAAGAACTCACAGTTCCTCATCCTCTGATCCCATCTCCTGGTAATGTTCACTTTCACCGTCCCTTTCTCGCTCATCCTCAGAAGGCATGCTCTCCCCTTCATCCTCCTCCTCATCGTCTTCTGAGGCAGCAGGACTTGGCTGTTGGCTGAGTCCAGCAGCAGCAGCCCTCATAGCAGCTAATGCTGCGGCCTGTGCTCGCTGTATTTTCAAGGCCTCTGGTTCTGTGTCGTCTGTGCCATTTGCCGGATAACCCCCGTCAGGAGGAGCCCCCACTGGATCCTGCTGAAGCTGCCTTGCCTCCATCTCCTGCTGCAACCGCGCCCGCTGCTGGCGCTGTAGCGTCTCCATCACCGCCTGCAGCTTCATGGCACGGTGAGGCGGGCGAGGGGGGCCACGTAGTGCCTCCTCCACCTTCTGAGGAAACTGACACTTGCCAACAGAGACCTGTGGGGTAGCAAACCAATAGTCCAAGCACCCAGACAGAAGGGAGGACTCAGCTTGGGTAGACTAAAGTTCTGCTCATGCTTTAGCCTCTGTTCTCCTTCCAACAACTGCCAGAAAGGATGTCCTGCTTTAAAGAAGGCCAGTATCAGAACCCTGAAAGAGACCAAAAAAATTATAATTAAAAGGAAATAGATTGACACATGAACATAAACAAAATAAGCTCACCATAATATAAAACATTGGAGCGCCCATTGCTGCATTGTTTTTGTGGATATCCAAAAACTTGATATGCACATGCTTGCTCCAGATGAGTGCCTCGCCAATCAATAAAGGAAGTGTATGACAACCCTGGAGCCTGCAACCTCAAATACAAGCCAGCAATAGCAACTCCATTATTTCGCTTCTGCAAGATACCCTTTAAAAGCTGACCTAAAAGCTTGCTGATCCTTTGTAATGGCTGCAGCCGGTTTACAGACCCTGGTTCCCAAGCAGATATTTTAGCACGAGAGTCCCAAGACATACAAGACAGCGTTACATAAATTAACTTCATGGTTTCAGAGGACCAACCCTTGAATTATTCTTCTGGATACACTCCAACCAACAACAAATAAATAATAATTTGGGGCACAGCTCAACAGATTTACTTAAAGTGGACCTATCATCCAATATAAATGTTCCTATTAAGTGCTTAAGTAACATCTAAAGCCGGCCCTACACCAGTAGAACTTTTCTTCAATTTTCTAGATGTTAGACTTTTTAGATTTTCGAAAATTAGCTAAAATTGACTTTTTAATTTTCAACTGCAACTATAAAACCCAACCAAATTTTAAACAGCATTCTAAGTCTCTGTTTTTTTTGAGAATTTATTGAGAATTTTCATATAAAAGTTTGTATGAAAATCTACCAGTGTATGGCACAGAGTGGGGTATACACGGAGTGAATTTCGTCTGATTCAGCAGGAAAATCGGCCGAAATCCACTGTGTTGGTGATCCTATTCCATTGGCAGAAGTCGATCCTTAGATCGACCTTTCCCAAAGGAACATATTGGAAAACCTTTAGCCAAACTGTGCTTGCAACTGTTTAGTGTAAATGGGTGAATCAACTAAATTCTATAGCTGTATGGTCAGCTTTAGAGCCCATTCACACCAGGGCGGTTGTGGATCAGCGCGGTTCTCGGAAGGAAGGTTTTGGGAGTTATTAATTGCGTTTCACTGCTGAAACGCAATTAAAAACGCCCAAAACCGTGCTGATCAGTGCGGTTCCATTGAAACCTGTATGGAAACCGCACTGATCAGCACGGCAAAAAATAGTGCAGGGAGCAGTTTGGATGCGTGGACCCGCGCGGTCGCATGGACGGTCCCCATAGCAATGTATGGGATCGTTCATGTCGGTGGATCCGTGCGGTCGAACCGCCCCGATGTGAACAGGGTCTTAGGCATCATTCAGGGTCAGCATCTACTTACTGTAGTGTGATGCTGGCTCTTAAATGACTCAAGCATGCACATCCTGGTACTTTCTGGGGTCTGACACAGATCAGCTTCCTCTCACTTTGTCTCTTGGTAAAAGATTACAATGTTGCGTGTTAATCTGCCACCTATTTAATAGTGCAACTGTCAGATTCAGTTGCACTATTAAAAAAAAGGTTCAAAAACTAAAAATTCAAAAAGATTTTTTTTAAACTTTTTTGTGCATTTTCAACGTATAAATAAAAACAGAAGAGGATTTTAAAATGTCTTCACTTCCTGTCTGGTGAAACTGTAGTCAGCGAAACAGTGAGTTCTTAACCTTCCCCACTTTATCCAAAACT